TCCTTGCCTCTCTTGTTACCGACCCGTTTGTTCCTGTCTCTCGCCTTGACGCGCTTGTCGCTGCTGTTGCTGACTTCGCCTCTACCCACCGCCTTGACTACGCTACCGCTCTGGTATCTAACCCTGCCCATCCTCCGTCCGTCGGGGGTGCTCTTGCCCTTGGCAGTGACGCACTAGAGAACAGGCAGTACGAGCTTGCTTTCCTTTCCGAGGCCGCTCCCCATCTTTGCTCCATGCTCCTAGTCCCAGAGGGTGACCCAGACGCCTTCGACAACCCGACCCCTCGCACCTACGCTGAGGCCACCTCGGGACCCTGGGCCTCTCAGTGGATAGCTGCCATGGAGCAGGAGATGGCATCTTGGAGGTCCACCGGCACTTAAGTCCACGCAGTTCCCCCGCCTGGGGTGAACGTAGTCGATGGTCGGTGGCTCTTCAAGGTGAAGCACCCCCCTGGAGAGCCGCCTGTCTTCAAGGCGTGCTATGTGGCCAGAGGCTTCAGCCAGCGCAAGGGGGTTGACTTCTTCCAGACCTTCGCCCGACCCCGAAGATGACCACTCTTCGGGCGCTGCTACACGTAGCATCACAGCGCGACTACGAGCTTCACTCCCTCGACTTCTCTACTGCCTTTCTTCAGGGCAGCCTACACGAGCAGGTCTACCTGCGTCGACCTCAGGGCTTCACTGGTACCTTCCCCCCTTTGACCTAGTGGCTTCTCCGGCGCCCGGTCTACGGCCTGCGTCAGGCTCCTCACGAGTGGCACGACACGCTGCATGCCACGTTAGCAGACCTGCAGTTCTTTCCGTCCTCTGCTGACACCTCGCTGTTTGTGCGTTCCGGCCAGACTCCGTTCTACATCCTTGTCTACGTAGACGACCTGGTCTTTGCTACTGCTGACAGGGACGCACTGGCCTCTGTGAAGGCCGAGCTGCTGAAGAGACACACCTGCACTGACCGTGGAGAGCAGCGTCGCTATCTTGGCCTGCAGATCTCCAGGGACAGAGCAGCACGCACCATCACTCTGACACAGTCACACTTGGTGCGTCAGGTCCTTCAGAGGTTCAGTCTTCAGTTCTCCTCCGCACAGCCCACACCTCTACCTGTAGACCATGGGCTCTCTGCTCCAGTTCTTGCGGAGCCAGTAGAGCCCAGTGGACCCTACGCTGAGCTGGTGGGTTGCCTCATGTACCTGATGACTTGCACTCGCCCAGATCTTGCATACCCTCTCAGCATCCTGGCTCGCTTTGTGGCCACTGGCAGACACTGGCCACAGCACTGGTCCGCCGCTAAGAGGGTTTTGCGCTATCTAGCAAGTACATCGGACATGGGGTTAGTGCTAGGAGGACGCAGGCCGGTGGTTCTCACTGGGCACACAGACGCTTCTTGGGCGGACGACTCAGAGACTCTCAGGTCGTCTCAGGGCTACTGTTTTAGCCTTGGTTTGGGTGCTATCTCTTGGAGATCCACTCGCTCGTCGTCTGTTGCTCAGTCCAGCTGTGAGGCTGAGATCTACGCTGGTGCCATGGCGGCACAGGAGCTCCGCTGGCTGACCTTCTTGCTCATTGACTTAGGTGAGCGGCCTAGCTCTGCCCCGGTCCTGTACGCTGACAACAGGGCCATGATCCTCCTGTGTCAGGAGCCTCGGCTTGAGGGCAGAGCGAAGCATATCCAGCTGCGGTACTTCCTCCTGCGCGAGTTACAGCAGCGTCGCCAGGCCCGTGTAGTTCACTTGGCCTCCGGTGCCAACACAGCTGATATCTTTACTAAGGCGCTTGCGCCTAAAGATCATCAGCGGCACTGTGTACAGCTTGGTCTTGTTCCTGTAGCTTCTCATTTGCTAGGGCCATGATTGTGTACTCTCTACTATATATACCTGTCTGACTGGCTTTGTGGCCTTACCTCCAGTGGCTGGACTAGTAGTGCTGCCCTGGCTTGCTTTAGTCTTGTTTGTACTCTTGCTGACTGGTCTCCGGACCCCTGCCTCAGTGGTTGGACTAGTAGTGCCACCCTGAGCTGTGTGCTTCTTGCTTAGCACCACCCCTTATCTAGCCCAGGGGGTGTGTCAACTTATACATATGTTCTATGTAGAAGTTATAGGCTAGACTAGGTGTGTGCTTCTAGTGAGTACAACCCAACAAGTATATGTTCTAGGTTTCTCCTTCTAGTAATTATTCTCGTATTCTAACATCTTCTACTACCAAGCCTGGGGGGTGTGTTAAATTATATTTTGTTATATAATTGGTAGGCTTGGTAGGTGTTATTGAAACCTACTGTGGTGGGTACAACCCCCTCCTTGTATGCCTCTCTCTTCTTTTCTCCCTCTCTTTTCTCTCGTCAACTTTCTCCTAGCTACCTAGCTCTTGTGACACAACGGGCACGCTAGGGGCCGGCGAGCCGGCGAGGTGCGGTAGGCTAGGGCGCGGGACGGAAACGGGTGGGGGGGGGGGACCTAACCTACTCATGATACCATGTTAGAATACTAGAATGACTAGAAACAAGAGAGAACAAGCAAGGTATAGGGTTGGGGTTGTACTCTCTAAGAACAAACACATATCTAGCCTAAAACCTCTACATACTAACATATGTATAAGTTGACATTCCATGCTGTTTCGAAACCTGCCCTGTTCGCAAACCATCCCTTCTAGTCCCAAACCAACCCCTCGGGCAAGTCAGGGGGTAGATCAAGTGGGGTCCCAGCTTGATAACTCCGCTTTTTCGGGTTTTAAGTTGAGAGGACCAAATCAGAAATTACTCCTAGCGATGAGTGCTGAAAAGGTAATTTTCACTGCTGACCTCCTTCACCAAATGTATCAAAGCGAGGTTTCGATCCTCGGACCTGTGGGTTATGGGCCCACCACGCTTCCGCTGCGCCACTCTGATATGTTTTTAAAGCTCAAAAGCAATTTATGAAAAATTTTAAGGGTTTAGGAATGTTGAAACTCGTGCAAGTCTAACTCCAGAACAGAAGCAGTACTCAATTCTTCACAAGACACAACCCCCATTCGGAGTTGGAAGGACGAGGGGCTCTGACCCAGCATGGAGGTACTGGCGAGCTCGTGTCATGTGTGCCGGGGAGGTGGGAGGTGGCGAGGTGAGCATCATGTGTAGCCACAGAGTGAGTGGCGCTAGCAGATGCAACACTAGTATTAGCAGCAGCAGGGGGAGCAGCACTCGCAAAGAAAGCACCTTGGATGGAGGAGGTGATTGCTCTGAGCGGAGGGATGTGCGGGCACTGAGGAGTTTGAGCAGCGGGAGGGGCTAGATGGACTGGTGAGAGGTGAGGGCGCTGGAGTTGAGGGCTTGGCGGGTGGGCCAGTGATGGCAGGAGGAAGGCGTCCCACTGGCGCCTCACTGCTACCAGCTCACAAAGGGGGAGGCGGGGGCCGGCAGCAGACGCATATGTTAGCCGCGAATGGAGGACTTGCAGATGTGTGCTGTGTGGTGCTCCCACACCCTCTTTGCCCTGCCGTACCTCGCTGCCACCCACGCTCTCACCGCCCTTGCCCTGCCGCTCCTTGCCTGCCATTTCCACGTCCATCCACCCCACATCCCCCCTCCCGTCCTCCGCTCCCTGCCCCCCACGGATCCACACCCACCGCCCCTCCTCTCCTCCCCCACCCCTTCCCTCCTCTCCTCTACGTCCACCCCTCTCCTCCTCTCCTCTTCCTCCGCCCCTCCCCCCTCATCCTCCTCCTTTGCCCCTCCCCGCCTGTCCTCCGCCTCCACCGCCGCCCTCACTGCCTGCACGAACCCATCGTCCTCGCCTGCCAGTGCCAGTCCTGATGGGGAGGGCCAGCAGAGGGGAAAACGAGAAGAGGGCACAGCAGTGGGGCAGGGGAAAGGCAGTGGGAAGGGCGGTCGGGCGGCGGGAAGGAAGGGCAGTAGGGCGGTGGGAAGGAAGGGCAATGGGAAGGGCAGTGGGAAGGGCAATGGGAAGGGCAACGGGAAGGGCAATGGGAAGGGCAATGGGAAGGGCAATGGGAAGGGCAATGGGAAGGGCAACGGGAAGGGCAATGGGAAGGGCAATGGGAAGGGCAATGGGAAGGGAAATGGGAAGGGCAATGGGAAGGGCAATGGGAAGGGCAATGGGAAGGGCAGTGGGTGTTGTGTGATGTCATCATATGCTATCACATTCTGTCTGCCTCCCATCCCATATTTTTTCAACTTGCATGTGTGGTTTGAACGTGTGCAAGAATTTGTGTGTGATGTGTTCTGGAGTTTGGGAATGTGTTTTGTGTTATTTTGTTTGAGCAGGTTTTTGTGATGATAGATCTTGAGAAGATCTTTCCGACGCAACGAGAATCCCTTCAATCGGAGCAAGAACGCGAAAGCTATGAAGATTCAAAGTTCATGAGCTTGCGTTACAATTGCGGCGGTTACAAAGTGAAGTTGTGGGGTGACTCTATATGGAGTTGGGACCTTTGGGGGTTTGGGAAATTTGTCACTCACTGTAACAGCTGCAAATTGGTTGGGAACAACCAAGCTAGGTTGGCAAGGGTGGCCAACTTGGATGGATTGGTTGGGAAGGGACAAATGTCAAAGTTGGGGTTCCTATAGGGAGGGAATCTTTGTGCTTATGGGGTTTCCTTGGTTGGGGACTCTCTTGGGACCTTCCCTCTCATCCCTCTCTTCCTATCCCAACCTTTCTCTTGCTCCTTCTAAATTCCTTGTGAGATTCTTGAACTTTGATTGAACTCTTGAGATTGAGTTAAGTTCTCCTCCTACAGCTTACCCCCTAATGCGTCGAAAGCCATAGCGTCGCGAATACTTCATCAATCAACATGATTCAAATTGGGAACGGTAGCTGAGATAAAGAGCTACAACATATCCAAGTTTCGCGACATTCCAACGGCTAGGTTTTCGTCGACGTCGTTTCTTGTGAAGACGACTTTTCTGTCCAGAATTTCGGATTTATATTTTGAGTAATTCTAGCTCCTAAGTTCACCTAGACTCCGTCCTTAATCCTAACAAGTGGTATCAGAGCTGTATTAAGGACGTTGAGAGGAGTCTACAGAAGTGTGAAGACCCTTCTAGACCCACCATGGCCTGTGGGTGTGCCTAAGTGGTGTTCTAAAGGTTGGATGTGTCTTCCGCTAAGGGGAAACTCTGCCGAAATTTCGTGGACGCCGACACTTGTGAAAATATCGAGGGAGCTGAGTGTGGACAGCAAAGGGGGGCTGAAATTCGTCATTTCTCAAGGAGAAGATGAATGAGAGAGGAGGAGATGCTAATGGAAGAGGAGCTGTAGCTGAGAAGACAAGTGAACCGCCGCCATCAAAAGTTGAAGCTTTGGATGGCTCCAACTATGAGGAATGGAGCGGACGGATGAGAAGTGCCTTCAAACGCTACAAGCTACTGAAGATTGCTGTTGGGGAAGAGAAGATGCCGGAAGAAGGCGAAGCACGTGAACGGTGGATTGAGAAAAGCACGGTGCTTTTCGACCTCATCCTTCAATCGGTCAACAAGGAGATGTTCGAGCACATCAAGGATCTTGTGGAAGCGGATGATTCGGGTCCAAGGGCGTGGAAACTACTACGCGATGTGATTCAGCCCAACACTCTCCCGATGGTGATCGTGCTCGAGAAGGAACTTGCTGCCATCTCCATGCGACCAGGGGACGATGTGAAGCCGGTCCTTGACAAGATCAAGGACACCTATGCAAGGATGGCAGCAGCGGGCAGCAGTGTATCTCAGCTGCAGCAGTGCACCAAGATCATCTCGGTGTTGGACAACTCTTGGGACAACCTCATCCCCACCCTCAACTCTCAGCAAGATCAATGGACACCTGAGTGGCTAAGGCAGCAGATTCTGCAGGAGGACTTCCGCAGACGCCATGTGGGAGGCGGTGCTGCCACTAAGACTGCTGAGGGGTATGGAGCTGCAGGGCGCGGCAAGGAAGAGGGGGTTGGAAAGGCCGAGGCCGTGGGAGGAGCTTTGGCAGAGGTAGAGGCCGAGGTGACTATAATGAGGGGCATGGGAGCTCTAGTGGCAGGGGGAGTACCAGAATGGAGGGCACGTGCTGGTACTGCAAGAAGGTTGGGCATCCTTGGTTCAAGTGCTTCAGCAGGCTGGAGGGATGGGCACCTCCAGGCATGAAGCCGCCCAGTGGTGAACGCGCACAAGGTGGCGCTGTGCAAGGCTCAGGTGCACAAGGTGAAGGTGCACAAGGTAATGCCTATCCTGGTTTGTTTGTTATGGTTGAGGATGTGCATGGGCATGAGGGTGATGTGGGATCTGTGGGAAAGGTTGTGATGCACCCTCTCACGCACTGGGTGATTGATTCGGGTTGCACCAGTCACATGACTCCACGGGCAGATTTGCTTGATGAGGTAAAACCCCCTGGGAAGATTAAGTATGTGGCAGCAGCGTCAGGTGCTTTGCTCCCCGTGATTGGTGTTGGGAATGCCAAGGTTAAGGGAGCTAATGGGGAGCTTGTGGGGCTTGGGAATGTTCTGCTGGTTAAAGGCTTGTCTGCTAACCTTCTCTCTGTGCGGCGACTGCAGAAGAGTAAGGCCGAAGTGACCTTTGGACCAACCAGCTGCCGTGCTAAGCTTGGGAAGAAGGTGCTGTGGAGTCTGGAAGAGGAGACCAGCTGCATCAAGGACCTGTGGCAGCTGCCCATCATCCCTTGGAATGGGAAGACTCCAACAGCAGCAACGGCAGCAGCGGCAAAGGCAACAGCAGGAGGAGATGCAACTGCACCAACTGATGGGGTCCTGGAAGCAGTCAAGAAAGTGCAGAAGCAGCAGACACATGGTGAGGTGCTTGCTGGTGTGGATGCGAGTGCGGCATGGGCTAAGGCTTCACCAAGGAGTGGAGAGGCCGATTGGGAGACATGGCATGAGAGGCTGTGTCATGTGAACTTCCCTATGCTGCAGAAGTTGGTGAAGGATGGGAGCCTGAAGGGCTTGGAGGTGAAAGGGGGAGTGAAGGAGATTGGGAGCTGCCCTACATGCTTGGAGACCAAGTTCTCCAAGTTCCCCTTCAACAGCACTACAGGACCAGCCAAGACCCCACTTGCACTTGTGCATATGGATGTGGTGGGGCCCACAAGAGCCCCTTCCCTCTCAGGCAGCCGCTATTTCTTGACAATTGTGGATGACCACACTCGGGCAGTGTGGGTTTACCCTTTGAAGAGCAAGGGGGAGGTGGCAGCGGCTGTCCTTAAGGAGTGGATGCCTAGAGCTCAGAGGGAATGCGGACACAAGGTGAAGGTGATCCGCAGTGACAATGGTGGGGAGTTCATTGGAGCTGATTTTGAGGGGGAGTTGAAGAGGAAGGGGATCCAACATCAACTGACAGTGCCCTACAACCCGCAGCAGAATGGCGTGGCTGAGAGGTTCAACAGGACCCTGCAGGAGGGGGCACGCACTCTCCTTGGGCGTGCAGGGCTGCCTGATCCGTTTTGGGTGTCTGCACTGAGGCAGGTCGCCCTTGTGAAGAATAGGGTGCTGGCTACAGTTGGAGATAAGGAGTGGATCCCATATGCCAAGTGGTATGGGAGTGCTCCAGCGGTGAACATGCTGAGGGCATTTGGGTGCATGGTGGTGTTTCATGTGCCCAAGGAGAAAAGGGGGAAGTTGGAGGCTTCTGGAAGATGGGGTGTGCACTTGGGGATTGCAAAGGATCACAAGGGGTGGCTGCTATGGGACCTGACCACCCAGAAGCTGACAGTGTCAAGGGATGTGAAGTTTCTTGAGTCCCTGTACTATAAGGAATGGAAGCAGCAGCAACAGAAGCTTCCATCTACACCACTCATTGTGGAGGCAGATGAGTGCAGCAGCCTTCAAGACAGGTGGAGGTTGCAGTGTCAGAGGAGGAGATGTCTGGGGTGACTGAGGAAGGGGGAGCAGCTGAGGTGGAGCAGCAGCAGCAGCATGAATCTCCACCTCGAGTTCCACACCCGCCTGAGCGTCCTAGGAGGGATGTGCGCCCTCCTGTGAGGCTGACCTATGGGGGAAGAGGCAAGCCGAATGTGGTGCAGGCTGGGAGTGTGGTTGAGCAGATTGAGGAAGATGAGATCGCTCACTGCTACTGGGCACCAATCCCTGAGTACATGGCCTTACACCATGGGGCCAAGGAAGTAGTGTGGCTAAGGCGTTTGTTGGAGGAGTTGGGAGTTGGTCAGGAGAAGCCGACAGTTGTGTTTTGTGACAATGAGTCCGCTGTGAAGCTCGCCAAGAATGCTTGTCTGCATGGGCTGACAAAACACATAAGGCCTAAGTGGCATTGGGTGAGGAGACTCCTTGATAAGGAGGTGCGGCTGGAGATAGTGAAGACCCATCAGCAGGCAGCAGATATTTTCACCAAGCGTCTGGCGGAGGCGGATCATTGGAAGGGCATGAAGCTTGCTGGGATGAGTGTGCATTGAGTATGCATGCTTGAGATGTTGGTATGGTGGATGATGGTTGGCAGCCAGAGGGGGAGATTGTTGTGTGATGTCATCATATGCTATCACATTCTGTCTGCCTCCCATCCCATATTTTTTCAACTTGCATGTGTGGTTTGAACGTGTGCAAGAATTTGTGTGTGATGTGTTCTGGAGTTTGGGAATGTGTTTTGTGTTATTTTGTTTGAGCAGGTTTTTGTGATGATAGATCTTGAGAAGATCTTTCCGACGCAACGAGAATCCCTTCAATCGGAGCAAGAACGCGAAAGCTATGAAGATTCAAAGTTCATGAGCTTGCGTTACAATTGCGGCGGTTACAAAGTGAAGTTGTGGGGTGACTCTATATGGAGTTGGGACCTTTGGGGGTTTGGGAAATTTGTCACTCACTGTAACAGCTGCAAATTGGTTGGGAACAACCAAGCTAGGTTGGCAAGGGTGGCCAACTTGGATGGATTGGTTGGGAAGGGACAAATGTCAAAGTTGGGGTTCCTATAGGGAGGGAATCTTTGTGCTTATGGGGTTTCCTTGGTTGGGGACTCTCTTGGGACCTTCCCTCTCATCCCTCTCTTCCTATCCCAACCTTTCTCTTGCTCCTTCTAAATTCCTTGTGAGATTCTTGAACTTTGATTGAACTCTTGAGATTGAGTTAAGTTCTCCTCCTACAGCTTACCCCCTAATGCGTCGAAAGCCATAGCGTCGCGAATACTTCATCAATCAACATGATTCAAATTGGGAACGGTAGCTGAGATAAAGAGCTACAACATATCCAAGTTTCGCGACATTCCAACGGCTAGGTTTTCGTCGACGTCGTTTCTTGTGAAGACGACTTTTCTGTCCAGAATTTCGGATTTATATTTTGAGTAATTCTAGCTCCTAAGTTCACCTAGACTCCGTCCTTAATCCTAACAGTGGGAAGGGCAATGGGAAGGGCAGTGGGAAGGGCAGTGGGAAGGGCAATGGGAAGGGCAGTGGGAAGGGCAATGGGAAGGGCAATGGGAAGGGCAATGGGAAGGGCAGTGGAACACCCCTCCCCCCCACTCCCCCCTGTTTCTCCCCTTGCCTCTCCCCAAGCCTTTCCCCACCTTCCCTCCATGCATGCTCCACTCGCAGGCGCCTCAGCTCCCTCGGCCTTCTCCCTCCTCTCCGCTCTCACTTCATTCCCCCTTTCCTCAACACATTTGCCCTCAAACCCCCTCCCCTCACCTTGTCTCCGCGCTTTCATCACTCGCAGGCGCCTGAGCTCCCTCAGGCGCTCCAGCAGCAGGAGGGCGTCCACCTGCCCGCGGCAGGAAGCAAAGTGGGGAGGGTGCAGAGAGCAGGAGATGATCAACATTCCGCCACCATTCTCGACTTGGCAAGTTGTTGTGAACGCCTACCGCGTGCACGCGGCATGTAAGTAGGAGAGCAGGGAGGGGCGGAAGCAGGGAAGTGAGAGGGGAAGCAGGGAGTGCGTGGGGAAGGAGGGCCGGCTGGCTAGGGCTGGCAAGCCGGGAGGTGTATGGGGCAACTTTGATCAGCTTGCTGAAACACGACACGTGGAACACATGTGTGTCTGCAGCGCATGCCAGCATGTGCAGTGCATGACACATCACCTATAATCTCACATCTGCACCGCCAGTGGCACAGACACACCACCCATCTCCACCACACACCCACCAATGCCCTTCACTCTGGCACCATTTACCTCCACCCAACCACACAACACCCATCACCTATCTCCACTCACACAACCCATCTCCACCGCATATCACCTGCTTCTGCAGCTGAGCCCCCTCCCTCTTGTCCCTGGCCTCTTCCCCCCGCAGCTGCTGGCCAGCCTGCCAGGGGAGACGCAAGGCGAGGAAGAGCAGCAGTGAGAGGCAATACTGAGCTACAAGCAGGGAGACCGCTGCTGCTGCGTGTAGTGAGAGCTATTGAGGCTCCTATGAAAGAGCTGATGAGTGGGAGAGTTGCGCGTGGTGCTGGAAGGTGGAGTGCGGAACAGTGGCTGCAATTGGAGATATTTCAGAATGCATACAACCAGAGGAAACATTCTGTGCTGTCTGATGCCCATGTGCACGCATGACCCATACCTCTCACCCAAGCACACCCCTCTCTCCCAAGCACACCCCTCTCTCCCAAGCACACCCCTCTCACCTGCGTCTCCCGTGCGTCCCTGGCCATCACCCTCCCCCGCCATGCGTCTATCCTCGCCTCCACCACGCTCCGGTGCTCCTCCCACTGCCCACGCATGCGACATGGAGGAGAGGGCAAGGGGGGAGGGCGAGGAAGAGAGCAAGGGACGTTGAGGGAGGGGGGAGTGAGAGGGCGGGGCAGGAGAAGGAGTGGGAGTGAGAGTACAAGGAAGAGGGAGCGAGGTGTATGGAGAGGTCAACAAAAGCCCAATGCATTACCAACGCCAGCCTCCTTACATTGTTGGTCAAACTTGGGCACGGTTGAACGAACCCACCCTGCATCACACGCACCTGCTTGCACGCCGCTGCCTGCTACGCTCTCCCCCTTCCCCCTTCACCTCTTCTTCCTCACCGCCCTCCCCCTCGCCCTCACCACTCGCAGCATCTCAACTCGCTCCACCCATCCCCACCCTCTCATCCCCTCATTCCCCTCCCCTGCCTCCTCCGTGTCTCCCTCCCCCCCTCCTCTCCCCCTCTCCGCACGATCACTTGCCGCACTTCCCTCCCCACGCCCCCCTCCCTCGTCCTGTCTGCCCTCCCCCAGCACCTCCTGCAGCCGTGCCAGCGCCGGCGTCAGCTGCAACAAATCCTCGCCCAACCGCTCGCCTGCTGCCGCCCACACTGCCTCCGCTTCTAATGCTGCTCTTGCTGCTGCCTCTGCTGCCGTTTCGGCTGCTGGCTGTGCTGTCACTTGCGCTGCTGAGGGCAGTGCAGCAGCGCCTGCCATGACGTGTGGTGGTGCTGGTGCGTGCACGGGCAGCTGAGCGACCGCCTCTTGGGGCACTGCATGAGGCGCTGCCTGCTGCGCCACACGGGGTGCAGCCGGCAGGTGGTGCCGCTCGTGGAGGCTGGTAATGGAGGGGGGGGGAGGGAGGGGAGGGGTTGGGGGATAAGCAGGCAGAGTGAGATGAGAGGAGAAAGCACGGCAGTGAAGCATGGAGGAGTGAGGGCGAGAAAGGGAGGGAGCAGGCGAGTGGAAGCGAGGGAGCGAGTGGCTGCCAGGACGGGTGGGGGGCAAGTGACACGGCGAGGGGCACGAGGCGAATGAGTGGGACGATGGGAGAAACGACAAAGGGAGGGAGAGCGGGCGGGGCCCTTGGAAAGAGCGAGGGGTTAGGAGGGGAAGGGCGAGTCGGGGGCTTGTGTGATGACAAGGGGCGCACGCAGCCTTGTGAGCTGCGCCTAGCGTTGTTGACAGCCTTCGACGGAGGGGAAGGAGGAGAGCTCCTGGCTTTGGCCATGGCAAGGGGCGTACACGGCTTTAAGGAGCTGCGCGTGGCGCCACATCCCCTCCACTCGCCGCCGTAGCTCCTCCCCGCTCCACTCGCCCAAGTCGCGCTCCCCGCCACCGCGCCACCCATCTCCGCTGCTCGCGTAACCCGCTCCCCTTCCCCCTCCCATTGCCGTTCCGCGCCTCTCATTCCCCGAATCCCCGCTCCTTCCCCCCATTGCTCCGCCGTCCCCTCCGCGTTCACCCCCGCGCATCATGCCTTCCGTCGGCCCCTCTCGCTCGGCGCCCCCCTCTCAACAATGCCGCGTCCGCTGCGGCGACTGGGAACGAGCTACCCCAATAGCAGCAGGCAGCAGCGCAAAGGCTCTTTTCTAAGCGCACTAGGCGGTGCAACTAGCGCGTTGCCTGCTCACCGCGTTGCCCGCCCACTGCGTTGCCCGCCCACCGCGTTGCCTGCCGACGCGCAAGCCGGACCACGCGCGACGCGTTGCTGCGGGGATTGCAGACTTGAACGGAGTTCCCGCAATCCGTGCGCCGACGGTGCGCCACTGGTACCCCGCCCTTCCTCCCGCGGCGAGCCTGTACTGCGCGCTGACACCAAACGGTCGGAGGTTCCGAGGCGATTAAGCCTCGGTGGGCAACGACGGAACAGGGGGGCGCGAAGGAAGCGGCGGAAGCGGCGGAGTGACGGAGGTGGAACGTGCCTGTGAGTGGGCTGCGGCGAGGAGCAGCGACGACTGACTCGGTGGTGTTTGCACGTCTTCTTGCTTCTGACCTCCGCAGGATGCACTGGGCCTTGCGTTTCTAGGGTTCCATCTTGCCGCACGACTTGGCTCACGGTGCCACCACCCTGGCCACCCGATTCCTTCTGTCAAGGAGATGCTCTTATAATTGCCCTAATCTTCGCCCTGGTTTTGCCCTCAGCAGCCACTCCCTCCACAAGCCGCCGCGTGAATGCAGCAGCAGCGCGAGATTCTGGCGAAGTCGATAGAATCCCTCGCAGCAGCAGTGCGGCAGACACGGTGACCCGGCGACATCTTCCGCTCATGCGTCTGATCACAGCGAGTACGCGTCTCAAAAGTTGACGTCGTAGTTGACATGTGTCTTTCCGTCTAGTGGGATAACAGAACAGGTCGGAATCCGTTCCTAGTAACGCGTGTCAACCGTCTGGATCCCGGCAGGCAGTCGCACTGCAGCACGTGTGTAGCGTCGTGCGGCAGCACGGCAGCGTTAGATTGAGGCGTCTCAAACGGGATCGCCGGAGTCGCACGGCAGCATGGCAGCTGCGCTCCGCACGGGGCGAATCAGCGCCGCCGACTTCCCACTCGCCACGACGAGTCTCGCCGCAGCGTGGAACGCGGCGGTAGACGCGCAGAGGACTCGACTGGCGGACGACGCAGCAGCACCGGCACCAGCAAATTCTGCACCGCGGAATGCGGCGGCAGACGCGGTGCACGAGCGAGCGGAAATGGAGGGAGAGAGGGAGAGCAGGGAGTGCGGGTTCGATGGCAGGGCGATGAAGGGCGCGTGTGCGGGGGGCGACGACTATGACCACAGGAGCACGAGGTGCGACGAGAGCATGGAGTGGCGGTGGGTCGCGGCGCGCCCCTCGTACCTGGCGCTCGGAGGTGAGTGCGGTGTCTCAGGCCCCCCTGCCCACAACCTTCCGCCTGAACACCCCCCCCACCCCCCCTCTTCTGCCCCTTCATCCCTCAGTCTCCTCCTTGTCTCCCCTGCTCTGTGTTTCACCCGCATGCGCCGCCGTGCTGTCTCGCGCTCATCCCGCGCTCCTCCTGCACTCCCATCCGCACATCCCCCGCCCCCTCGTTCACCTTCATATCTACTCTTCCATCGCTCCTTCCATCGCTCCTTCCATCGCTCCTTCCATCGTCCACCATCCTTCACCCCCTTCTCGCTCCCACCCCTCCCGCCCATCCGCCGTGTGCCAGGCGGCTATCTCACCACGGACCACCCGCTGGTGCTGCACCGCCACCACACCCAGCACCAGCATGCATGCCATGGGCAGTGCCACGAGGGAGCTGGAAGCCATGCGGCGGTGCCTGCTCCGTGTGCCGCCAGCACCGACGCTGCTCACCATCAGCTACCTCTTAATCTCGCTCACTTGGTTGACCCGGTTGACCCGGTTAACTCCGTTGACTCCGTTGACTGGTCTGATGTGGTTAACCTGTGTGGCGATGAGCCGCGCGACCCGGCCACCCTGCCGTGCTGCCTTGGGTGGCAGCGCCCGGCAGTGCTGCCTGCAGCAGGCGCAGCGGCACCAGCAGCATGGGCAGCACTGTGCGCAGCCATGGTGGCTGCAGGCCAGGCAGTGCAGCACACGCCAACGCCAACTGAAGTGGCACCTGCTGGGTTACGCACTGAGCATGCGGCGTTTGACGGTGTGGCATGTGTGCAGCAACCATGTGACACGGCAGCAAGGGACATGATGCCATGTGGCATGGTGGCGGTGGTGCAGTGCCATGTGGTGTTCGATGCTGTCTTCTCTGTGCCACAACTGCTGCTCCTGCCATGCCACCCAGGTATGCATGCCACCCAGGTATGCATGCCACCCAGGTATGCATGCCACCCAGGTATGCATGCATGCCTTCCCACCAGACGCGGTTGCATGCCACGCCACCTTCGTACTCCACCGTGCCACCATGTTCTCACCATCGACCTCTCGGGGTCACCTTGACCATCATCCCAATCTTTGCGCCTGCCTGTATTGTGCCCAACCCTGTCCACGCATCCTTTTTCGACCCTTCCCTCGTGCCCACCAGCTCCACCACCCACCCTCCTCTCTCTCTCTCTCTCTCTCTCTCTCTCTCTCTCTCTCTCTCTCTCTCTCTCTCTCTCTCTCTCTCTCTCTCTCTCTCTCTCTCTCTCTCTCTCTCTCTCTCAAACGATCCTTCATTGCTGGGAGATCCTTTGTACAGGCGAGGCATATACGGTGAGTACAAGCATGTATGAGAAGCTGGCCGGTCTCCTACTCTATCGCGACTCCCCCGGGTGCTCGATGACAGCGAAGCAGTCCCCGAGGGACATGCCCGCGTTAGGAGCACCGAGGGGGGGCCATTCGAGCGGCGAGGCGTCGTTCACCTTCCCGAGGTAGGTGAGGGCTTGGCCCCGCTGGAGGGTGACAGACCAGCGCTGGCGGAACTGGCTGAGCAGTTTAGCCACCTGGTAGGAACTGGGGTCGGCGTTGAAAAGGCAGCGGGCGGCCGTGTGTGCTAGGAGTTTAAGGAAGGTTGGCACCTCGGCGCATGGGCAGCCATACGTCTCGACCGCGAGTGGGAAGAAACCGACGTAAGCTGCCCCGTGGCGGTATTCGTCGATCTTCTTGTCCGCCTGTTCCCAGGCCATGTATCCGCGGCCCTTGCGCGCTAGCGGGTCCCGGGAGCTGACTGGGTCGGTGACGGTGACGTCACAGATCCAGACCGCCCCCGAGTCCCGGTCACGTACGGCCAGGTCGGCGGTCTTGCCGTCGACAGGGTTGTAGATCGCCGTTTCTTTCGTGACTATAAGCTGTGCGTCTCGCCCCATGCGCACGCACTCATCTCGGAGGGCGTTGTGGGTGTCGGTGCGACCGTGTCCCGTCCCACAACGGAAGAGGTGGTTTGGTAGGCGGGGGTCTACGATCGCGACCTGTTGGGCGCAGTTGCAGACCCTGGGTGCCGGGAAAGGGAGGCCCATACGGAACGCCAGGGCGATGGCATAGTGAGGCGGCACCAGCCGAAGAGATGGGAATAGGGGGATGGCGAGGAGCCCGTCGCCGGCGCCATACCCAGTGAGGGAGAGGAGCCGCTGGGTGTGGCCGCTGAGGGGGTTGGGATCCATCTCCCGTGACGCGGCCAATTGACTGGCGAAGCGGGCTGCGTGTACCTCCAGGGCCAATCGGTGCTGGAGAGGTTCGTCCGAGGGTTCAGCCCGCTCGGCCTGCAGGAGCGCCAAGGCTGGAGCTGGGAGGGCCGACTCGCATTTCGCCAGCTAGGTATGGAGACGCGAGGGTCCGTTGAAGGGAGGGGCCAGGGAGCAAGCCGCTGCAGCGAGTGGGCCTGTCGGGTCCGAAGGAAGGGATATGAGCAGCCGGTGGGCATGTGTGACGCTGGTGAGGAAGGCGTGCGGGCCCTCTACTGCGGGGTCCGCAAGGCCGAGGCCGCCAAGGGTGGGGGGCAGAGAGGCCTGGTGCCACGTGCGCGACCGCTCCTGATCACCCCGTGGGAGCTGAAGGTTGCACGAGAGGAGGAGGGTATGGAAGAGCTTCTGGCCCCAGTTGGACCATTCCTCGGTCGGCAGCGAGTCTACGGGGGTGGTGCGGGTGAGATAGGATACGCGTCGTGAGACGCAGCGGGGGAGAAGAAGGCCCGCAGCAATGGGGGTCCATGGTCGTCAGGTCGGGTAGCGGTCTGGCCATGTCAGCCAGCTGCTCCCGAAGGAAAGCGGCTGTGACTTCAGTGGGGCCGAGGTGGCTCCCGAGGACGCGCAGACCGTCAGCGCGGAAGGGGATGCCCGTGTCTCTCTCTCTCTCTCTCTCTCTCTCTCTCTCTCTCTCTCTCTCTCTCTCTCTCTCTCTCTCTCTCTCTCTCTCTCTCTCTCTCTCTCTCTCTCTCTCTCTCTCTCTCCATCATCGCCCGCCCCTCTCTCGCCCGCACAGATGGCCGTCCCCTGCCCTTGCAAGACCTCTTCGCCTTCCTCCCACCCCTCCCCGACCACCCCTTGCTCCCGTCACCTCCGCCCTCCACCGTTGTCCGTCACCCCCAACCCCCCTGCCGCCTCACCCACGTCCTCCCTTCCTCCTCGCACCTGCGATCCCTTGGGGCCCACAATTGACTCTTGGCATCTGCTCACCCCTGTGGTATGCCGTCAAACGCCGTGTCCTTCCTGCCCTTGGTCAAACGCCGTGTCCTTCCTGCCCTTGGTCAAACGCCGTGTCCTTCCTGCCCTTGGTCAAACGCCATGTCCTTCCTGCCCTTGCTCAAACGCCGTGTCCTTCCTGCCCTTGGTCAAACGCCATGTCCTTCCTGCCCTTGCTCAAACGCCGTGGCGCAAATAACCCGACTCATCCGCCATGGGCCAAGTAGCAAGCCCATGCACTGTCATGGCAGATCGTTCAGATATGCGCGTCACGGTGCTTGCTCTGCCTTGAACCCCTTCTCGTTCATCAATCTCCAATCTCTCATTCGTAACTCGTGCTGCCCGCCATGGGACTAGGCTTGTTCTTCTGCATATCTCAGCCGCTGTTTGAGTCGCCTCAAATCCTTCCCCCCCTCCACATGGCAGGAGCACCCATTCCTGGGCCGGCCGTGTCTTGCCGTTCACCCCTGCAACACAGCCTCCACAATGGCGCTCATGCTGCACGCTGCTGCTCATGCTGCTGCTGCTGGAAGTGGTGGTGCTGCTGCTACAGCTGCATGTGGGGCTGACAATAAGGCAGCCACATGGCCAACAGCGGGTGCTGCACTGTCCGCTGCCAGCACTGGTGCATCGCATGACCACTGCCAGGGGCTCGAGCTCTACATGCTGAGCTGGCTGTCGCTGGTTGGCCGGATCGTTGGCATGCACCTGCCACCTAGTTTGCTGGACAGAATGGCTTCGTTGTCATCCGCAAAAAATCCGTAAATGCTAACATTGACACTATCATGCGTTAGAAAGAGGGAGCCATGGAAGAAGACGAAGCAACAAAGCTTTCAGAACCAAAGTCATGCAACAGGTGTGTGTAAGGCTGGTAGTAGTGCACGAATGGATCAATACCGATAGGTGGGTGGGAGGGATCATAAAAGGTGCGATGGGATTGCTGGTAGTGGTGCTGGTGGAGAGCCTTTGGATTGGCTCAAAAGAGCCTCCAGGCAACATGAGTGGGGGCATGGCCCATTCCAGCCCTCTCACACGTGCACAATCCACATTCATTTCTCAAACATCATTGATTTTGCTGCAACATTGCTGCTGATCAATCGGAAACCAAAGCGCTACTGGACATCAAGTGCCTTTACCCATCCGCAGCGGCAGCAGCAGCCGTTGTCCCTTCCCCTGCTGCAGTTCCAGCCTTGTCTGCCCGCACCTCACCCGCCACACCACCCGCTTCGCCCCCCCCAGCTGCCGCACCCTCACAAGCCGCATCCGCGCCTGCCCCCCCCGCTGCTCTGCTCTGCCCGGCCTTGCCCTCGTCTGCTGCCCTGCCTGGGCCAGCCTTGTCCGCCTCGCCTCGCACATCGCCAGCATCGCCTGCAGCGTCCGCACCTGCTGCGTGTGGCGCATCTGCGTGCTTCGAGTCGCCTTCAACCGCCTCGTACTCTCCTGTGGCCTCGTTGAAGCGGTACCTGGCGATTGGGGTCGTGGGAAGACAACAGTGAGAGTGAGTGGCAAGTGTAGGTAGTTGGTGGAGGGAGGATGGGGAGGTGGTCAAGAGCAGCGTTGAAGCCATTGTGTTTTGAGTCGACTCAGCACGCATGGAGAAGCAAGCGGCGACGAAACACCAAGGCATCGAGGTCGTTACGCGTACAAAGCCATATGTGACTCGTGTTCATCATGCCATGGCACTCCGCTGCTTTGGGTACAAAGCGATAAAAAACTTCACCATAACAAGGTCCTGCATGCTGCTGTGTGCCAGTAGCATTCTGTCACCGCACTGTACTGCACTCAACCCCACCATGTGTCGTTAGCAGCACTGCAGAAGAGCCCAGAGGTGGCGTCATAGTAGTAGCCCACCTCCTTGTTGTAGTAGTAGCTGGGGCGGAAACGAAGGGGGAGGGGGGGGGGGGCGGGGTGCAGGCATTGATATGTGAGGTACGTCGAGAGGAGGCCTCATAGTAGTGACCCACCTTCCTGTTGAAGTAGCAGCTGGCGAGGGGGGGGGTGTAGATTTGGGGGGTTGGATGGGGGTGCAGGAATGGGTACTGTATGTGGTTGTGTAATGGTGCAGCAGAGGGAGGGAGAAGCGGAATAGGGAGAGTAACATGGTGACCTGGTAGCAGAGAGGAGGGGCGAGGTGGAGGGCAGTGCCGGTGATTGCAAGGCACTGGTGAACAACGGACGTCTGCGTGCACGAGAGCAAGGGTGGGGCGCAAGTGAGACACCATGCACTCACCCACTGCCCGGGTCGAACTCATAGCCGCTGCTGTTGCTCGGTGCTCCGCTCCCTTCAGCCCCTGCCTTCCCCTCCCCTCCCTTTCCCTCTGCTCCCCTGGTAGCCGCCTTCCCCTCACCTTCCTCCTCCCCCTGTTCCTCATCGCCATCCTCCTCCCCCTGTTCCTCATCTCCATCCTCCTTAACATCCTTGACTTTACCACCCCCCTCGTTTCCATCACCCTTTTGATGATTTCCCTCATCCCCATCGTCAGCATCATCGCCAAACATGTCCACACCATCCCCTCCTCCCTTCCCATTCCCTCTCTCCTCCCCACCTCCTTTCTCCCCCGTACTCTCCTCGCCAGCCCCTCCCCCCAGCAGCCCCTGTCGTGCCCTCAGGATCGCCTCGTACCCCTCCGCCTCCCGCTGAAACGTCTCCATCTTGTCCGAGTACACGTCTGGAGAGGGGGGCGCATGACACGCAGAGAATCGCATTTTCCAGCACAGGTGTACGTGCAATGCCTCGTGCCCGTCTGCCTCTCTTCGAAACGTCTCCTTGTCCAAGCACACGTCAGCAGGGGGGGGGGGCGGGCGGCAGCATAGCACATGAGAGCACATGAGAGCACATAAGAGCACATCGCAGGTGAAGTGTGAATGCCTCGTACCCTCTCGCCCACGTTGGAACGTTTCCTTCTTGTCCGTGCACACGTCTGCAGGAAGGGATGGCACATGAAGAGCAGAGAGCAGCACATTCCAGCGCAGCACAGCCATCACGTGCTTCCACAGCCATCACGTGCTTCCACAGCCATCACGTGCTTCAACAGCCGGCATCCATGAGCATCATACCTGTCTCCCCCGCATCCATGAGCATCATACCTGTCTCCCCCGCATCCATGAGCATCATACCTCTCTCCCCCGCATCCATGAGCATCATACCTCTCTCCCCCGCATCCATGAGCATCATACCTCTCTCCCCCGCATCCATGAGCATCATACCTCTCTCCCCCGCATCCATGAGCATCATACCTGTCTCCCCCGCATCCATGAGCATCATACCTGTTTCCCCGGCATCCATGAGCATCATACCTGTTTCCCCGGCATCCATGAGCATCATACCTGTTTCCCCGGCATCCATGAGCATCATACCTGTCTCCCCCGCATCCATGAGCATCATGGCGTCTTCAGTGAGCTGCTCAAACAGCCGCTGCCTCGCCTCCGAGTCCATGCCCCCCTCCTGCCCCTCGCCCCCTCCCGTCTCCTCCATCCACCGCGGTCTGTTCTGCTGCCTCCCGCCCTTCCCCCTCCCCTCCCCGCCCTCCTCCCTTTCCCCCTCACCCCCCGGCCGCCCCCTCTTCCTCCCCTGCTTCCCCCCCTTCGCTCCTCCCGCTCCCCCTTGCCCCAGCCCTTTCTTCCCCCCGCCTAGTCGCTTCAGCCCTTGAATGACCTGCGCGTGGAGGAGGGGGGAGGGGAACGGCGTGGGATGGGGGGTTGAGGGCGCGGGTGGGGGCGAGGGGTAGAGAGGCGGCGCAAGAGTCCATCTAATGGGGATGCGGTGCGGCTGCCGCATGCCACTTCACTCCAATCCATGTGGGTGGCTAATGTGGCTCTCTGCCACCCAATTCCCCATCTGAGCCATAGCTTCGCAAACCCTCCACCCTCCCATGCACACTGCCAACCTTGTTGCACTCATCCCCACACCCCCATCCATGCTCATGCCAGCTGTCCAATTTCCCCCCACTTCCTCCCTTCGTCACTTAGGGTACATTCCGGAGCAAGTGTCAGACCCGAGGTCGACCCGCGGCCAAAGGAGCTGCGGGTTGTCACAGCCTAACTGCGGGTCTTATATTTTTGACTGTGCAGTGGCTGCACAGTGGCAAACTGTCGCAAGGAGAGGGTTGCGACTATAGTGGCCGAACTTTGCGAGTCCACCAGAAATTTTTGAGTTAATGATTGGTGGAAGTTCATTTGCGCGACATTGTTAGTTGCTCGGTTTGACAGCTGACTGGCTGGAGCCGTCAGTTTTTCGCACGACCCGAGGCAATTTTTTATCAGCCTCGGATCTTCCTGCTAATCCCCTCGGGTGTAACACTCGGTGCAGAATTTACCCTTACCGTCTCCCCGGGGTTCAGCGCATCAGCAATGCGCCGCCTGATCGCCGCCATCTCCGCGTGCCCCATGCCGCCCTCCCCCGCCTGCTCCGCTGCAGCCGCTGCCTCTGCGCGCGCTGCCGCCTTGGCGGCCAGGGTGGGGTCCACCTCTGCTGTTGCCAGCCATGCGTCCTGAACGGGAAAGAAGGGGGGGGGGGAGAAAGAGAGGAGGGAAGGGGAGGGGAGGGGGCGCATGGTTAGGGGACACAGCGACATGGCGCTGCCTCTGCCTGTGCTGCTGCTGCGGTGGCCAGGGTGGGGTTGACGGCGAGTCATGCATCCTGGTGCGGGTGGCAGGCAGGGTGAGGGGGGAATGTCAAAGTGACTGTAGAGGTGGCGCTGCCTCTGCGCGTGCGGCGGCCGTGGCTGGCGGCGTGGGGTGACCTTCAGCCGCTCCCAGCCGTGCGCGCTGGTGCGAGTGGGGGAGGGGGGACGCTGCACGGTGAGGGACACAGAGACACGGCGCACGGTTTGCGAGACTTAGCGGACGTGGGGCATACGGGACACATGGCGTGAGATTCACATGTGGGAGCACTTGCTTGCGGGGCGGCCTTGGCTGCTGCTGTTGGGTCAACTCAGGCGGTGGCCAGCCCAGGGAGGGGAGGAGGGAGGCCGCACGGTGTGTGGGAGTGAGGAGGGGAAAGGCAGTGATGCAGTGATGAGGGCAGCGTGTGTGCGCCTCAGCTGCCAGGCAGACGGCGGGGGAGCGAAGGGCCACCTGGTATGGTGGTCGGTGGGGGCAGGGTGGGGTTCCTCTCAGGCTGCGCCAGCCATGCGGCGTCACTCGTGAGGGCTTTGCTCGCTGGAAGGTGGATGGTGCGTGAGGGCAGCCAAGTACGGGCGTCATGCGTGCGTGAATGGTGAATGGGCATGTGGCATGTGGCATGTGGCATGTGGCATGTAGCATGTGGCATGTGGCATGTGGCGTGTTGGTTGGAAAGATGATGGGCGTGGACTGCATGTGAGAAGCCATCCATGCATGTGAGAAGCCCTCCTTGCATGTCATGCCCAACACACACGGCTCCTCCCCGCCTTACAGTGGCCTCCGTGTCCTCTCTGTACTCCACGTAGTTGCCCTCGGCGTCGAAGTACCCCTCCTCGCGCTCCTGCTGCAGGTTGAACGGCTCTATCGCCTCCTTCTCCTCCTCCTCGCCCTGCTCACACCCGCGTGCCATGCAACGCGCGCCAGACAGCACACGGCACGCAGCAAGAATCAGCATGCATGCAGGGTCCACGCATCAGCATGCATGCAGGGTCCACGCATGAGGGCTGTGCAACACCATCGCCAATCCCCATTCCACTCTTCCCCACGGTCCCCACCCCCAACAAACCCTCCCCCCACACCCCTTGATTCCGCCCTCCCTTGCCCTAAAACCCTCCCTCCCTCCCTTTCTTCTCCTCCTCTCCCTTCCCTCCCTCCTTCCTTCCTCCTCCTCTACTTCCTCCCTCTCCCCTCTCCCTCCCCCCTCTCCCCCCCCCTCCCTTCCCCCCACCTGGAAGTCTTCCTCCGCGCCCACCACGTCCTCCACGCCCCCAAACGCCGTGTCCCCCCACTTGTTCTTCCCCCGCTTCCGCTGCTGCGCGCGCGCCTGCGCCGCCACGCGCGGGTCCGCGGAGTCCATCAGCGCCGCCGCGCCCGCGGAGCCTCCGCCCGCCGCGTCGGGCTCCGCGCCCAAGTCGTCGAGATCCATGGCGCTGACGTCAGCGGAGGGCAGCGCACCCTTGACCTTCTTGGGCTTCTTCTCCGGCAGCACTGCGCGCCGAGGCCTGGCGGAGTGCGCGTGCGGAGGGAAGAGGAGGGGGAAGGGAGGGGAGAGCAGGAAGGTGGGGAAGAGGGATGGGGTGGGGGTGGGGAATTGCGCAGCACGAAAGGGAAAGTGGTGCGTGAATGAGTGGGACGAAGCTTTTGGCGGTGAATTCGCACGAAAATAATTCGACGCTACAGAAAATAGAGACGGCGCGCACTTGGTATCATCGTCGTCGTCGTCGGCGTCGTCGTTCCCCGAGAACCGGGCCTGCTTCTTCCGCTGCACCTCCTTGCGCTCCTCGCCCTTGCCCGTCCCCGCCGCCATGTGCTCCAGCTCGCCCGACATTGTCACACTCGATACAAGCGTCCTTCAGCTACCGCAAGCTCGCTTTCATTACATCCTACAAATAATCCTGCTCTGACCAGATTATTGAAGTGGTTACGCCCTTAGGGCGTGTCCAGCGCGTACGCTTACTGTCCACGGAACACGGTTCAAACGGATAAATCGCGGTCAGGAGCGGTTTCTGCGCATAACCACGTTGGACCACCAAGCACCACTGTGAACCGTATATAGTGAATTGTAAACGTACGCGCTGGACACGCCCTAGCTCCGTCTAGTTACTCTAGGACGATTCCTCGCTTGTGGCAGACTACTTTGTGGCAAGTTCTGTAGGGTCTGTTTACGGTCAAGATTGTCACAAACGAGATCTTACATGATCTTACACGTTGAAGGAGGCAGATGAAGAATTGCCACAAAGTTTGTCACAGGTGAAGAACGCATCCTAAGGTAACGGGCATGCTGCTTGAGGTTCAGAACAATCCAGAAATCTGAACTTCAACGGGTTTTAGGACGGTTTTGCTTGTTGAAGTGGGCTTGTCTACGGTGAAGCGCGGTTGGAGTTTTAGGAGAAAACCACCGCGTTTACAGACCAATTTCGTCAATCTTGGCAGTTTCTGGGAACACGACTTTGTCGAGCTCATGTGGTTACCACTCGATGCGAAAGAACAACTGCGTCATAGCCTATCCAAAACTCGCTGGTCGTGACGTGACGGCAGTGCCGGTGATTACAAGCGCACATGGCGCCAGCACAAAACGCGTTGGCGCACACGGCGCCAGCGCGCAAGGCGTTAGCGCGCACGGGGTAAGCGCAAAAGACGCAAACGCTCACGGCGTCAGCGCGCCGCAAGGCACCAGCGCTTACGGCGCCAGCGCGAAACTCGCCAGCGTGCAAGGCACCTGCGCGCACGATGCCAGCATGCACGGCGTCAGCGTAAAAGGCGCCAGCGCGCACGGCGCCAGCGCGAAACGCGCCAGCACGCAAGGCACCAACCCACACAGCGCCAGCATGAAACGACAAGGCTTAGATGACAGATAAGCGTGATTAGGAGAAAGAACTAGAATAATTTAAACAAGCAAGAACAAGGCATGAGAGAAGAGGAGGAACACGTACTGCACGAGGGAGGGATAAAGAAGAAATGTGCGTAAGGGATGAGCAAGAACGAGGCACTGTTGCAAGGCCAAACCCTAGCAATGGCGTGTTCGCTGGCTCTGCCCCTGAAACTATAGCAGGTCAGCACCGTTACTATCCCCGATATGGCAATCCAAAGCATTACATCACATAGAACACTAGACCATTTCTGAAATAATTTATGCTATCATAAAACAAAACAAATAAATTTGACGGGGGTGAAAGTGCATTAACAATGAAAATATACCACCCACGGTGTTACCGTTCTTTTTATATATCCTGTTTTTCAAATCACATAAAGGATAGTATTTATCCTGTTTTTTCTGGTGGAACCCCCCAAAAGAAAGGTGCCAAGAAAAAAACTTCCCATTATATGCAAAAATCTTGATACATACGCAACCCATCTGACGATTTATGTCGAGCCTTGTTTACAAGTTATTCATTGTGCTAATAGGGAATAGTTTTGATGAAAAAAAGTGCGCTTGTAATGAAATAATAAATATAAGCGCGTTTGCACTTCATAAGCCCACTGGGCTTAATAGATGGCCGCGCCAAAATCCGGGTGATTACGGTATACAGCGGGTATTCCGTTATCTCCAAATCCGCGACTCACAAATAACTAGTACGACAAATAGGGGTGGTACGCTACCGGTAAACTAGATAATAGAGTAGCACTATGAATTTTAGGTGGGGTGGCGTAGGTCGTTTTACTCGTTCTATTCACGGTGAGTGCCTCGCGTATTGGCCACTTGGGCCAGGTTACCAGCGATTTCGTCGCGAGTCATGCGAGGGGTCATATGGCCTCTTAAAAAACGCTCAACAAATCTGTCATCTGGTCAGGAACGCGCGGACAAAAAAAAGTCGCACCTCCTTCTCGAACTTCTCGCAAGGAGTGCAGGCTCAAAACACGCAAAACAAATAAGACATAAAACCCTTTTCGTGGTCTCACGAAAATGGCTAAATGGAACGAAATTTTGACGACTTTATTGAGGGGTTCCGTCAACCAACCACACGTTTTTACGAACGCGAAAATGACCCCCTTGAGAAAATCATTTTCAAAAATGTGTAGTTGTTAATGGTGACTGAGGGAACAAGGGTCGTGTTTTTGTATTCGGGACGGTCCCGTTCGTGTCATGAGGGAAGCCTGAATATTTACGTGATTGCTTGAAAAAAATGGTAAACGCCTCGAATGCTCTTGATACGAGTATTTGAATAGGACCGTAAGCGTAAGGTAGAACGGATGAAAATGTTTGCACTATGCACATGCCTACGTGTAGCTTGCTGGTTGTCCAACTGGCGATATTTTATCGGCCGTTGGGGCGCCATCTGGATTGCGAGCCCAGTTTATTGCGATTGAGTGGCATACATGGCGGTATTGGATTTCGCGAAAATAATCTGCGAATTTCGTCCATCCACTCTCAAATCGCAAGGAACCTCGTCAGAAATTTCATTGGCGGGGGCATTTTGCGACGTTGACTGTACGCACTACAGTAGTTGTACGCCATATGATCGGAGTACAGCGTATTGGATCCTACCGAATTATGGACGGTAGGATAGTATCTGGACAAAAAAATCGAGGACTTAAAGCCCGACCGGCAGGTTGCAAGTCCTCTTTCCTCAAGGTGCTGCACCTTGAGGCCCTCGTAACCGAGCAGCTGCCATCAAACTGCCAAATGCTCGCAAAGGATAACAACTAGGCAAGGCTGGGGGCCTCGCGGAACCTGACAGTGCAACCTGCCGAGTTCTTTGAGGGAAAAGATGGGAGGGGTTGGGTGGGGGGTAGAAACCTGTATCTGTATTTTGCAGTGTGGGTTGGAATCGAGAAACAAAAATGTGATTTGTATTTTTTGGGTCGCACTGTACCGAACTGTATATGCGTCAAACAACACCCGGTTTGTTTTTCCGAAATCGGTCAGGTCAAAGGGTTGCTTGTGATCGAAACAGCCAACCAGTTCTCGCCCTGCAAACTTGGGAGCAGGGCTGACGTTTCAAAAAAAGGCACTCTGATTTTGCCCCCCAAAATTTTTCCCGAGTCTGAAGGGTCATTTTTCGAAGTTTTGCTACTCTTAAATCTCAGTGTCCAAGATTTAACGAGTCTGAAATACTCAGGGTTCAGAATGTTGACTCAGAGTCCTACGCCCAAGTCGAATCTTGTATTTGCAGAGTTCATACCAGGGTCTCACATTCGTTTTATGGAGGCTTATTGCTCAGGCCTGCCCTTATGAGAACCCATTTTTGTTAGGGTAGTTTATATTTGATTGCCTGAAATTTCAGGCTGAATTTTCCGTAAAGCTGACGAATCAGGCCTGGGTTTTGAAACGTGCTGTATCAGTGACGATGGCTGCAGTTCACCGCGTAATCGAAGGAAAATTTGTGTTCTCAGGAACTGCCGAAACCCCACCAACTTGCTGTATCCGCGCAGTTTGTGCTAACGACAAATCACGTCCCTCGCGCGCGCCTGCTCTAGCCTTCCTCGGGCAACCAGCGTGATACAGTACTTGGTCTAAGGAATAGTCACGCTCCTCATAATTGCTCCTAGGTACAGTACCTCGGACTTTTGCGTGATTTTGGTCTGACGGCCAATCACAGCCTCACACCTGCTCCGGGTACGGCGAAGCACGTCGAAGGACAATGCGTGTACAGTACAGCAGCATGGAGTTTGTCTGTGATAGGTCCTTGCAAGTGTGTGATTGGTTGTTGAGGGGCTTGTGCCACCCGCTCAGAGGACTTGACAAAAAAAATCAGGGGAAAGGGGGTGCGGGGAGATTGTCTCTAAAAATGGATGACTTAGCCGATTTTTGTGGGTGTTGGGGGTGTTAGAGGGGTGTCTCTAGAACAGGACTTCAACGATTTTTATGGGCTGCTGGTTGTGCTGGGGGGAACTGTCTCTGGCTGCTAGGACTTAGCCAGCTATTATAGGTTGCGGGGCGGGGTGTGTGAAAGGACTTGACTCTGGCCATTGGGGATTTGGACGAAAATTTTGGGTGAGGGCAGGTAGGTATGTCTGTCTCAGGGTCCGTACGCGCTGTGCTCTGAAAAATCAGTATCCACAAACTGCAAAGTCTGAGATTCTCAGGATTCAAAAACATATAACTCTGAAGGGTTCAGCATTGAGAAATTGGCAAGTCTGAAATATCAGGTTTGGAAAAAAAAATAGGTCTGAAATTTCAGACAATCAGACTAAAATAGTCTGATAAAATCAGGCCTGCTTGGGAGAGGTGGCGAGGTGGCTCTCCGCGAGACTGTGAGCTGCAAAACTAGCAGCCCTACTTTTATGGGTTGCACATCAAGTTTTTGCTTCTCCCGTGGACTCGGTGTCGTGAAGGAATTATAGCTAGGACGCCATGAGTATGGCGGCGGGGTTTAGCTAGGAGGAAGGAGAGGAAAATGTCGAGAGAAAAGGTGAATCAACTAGAAGAGAAACAGGTACAAGAAGGAGAGTTATCCCCTCTACAGTAGGATGCAGTAGCACAACCACCAAGCCTATAATTTTATATAATATAATTTGAACACACCCCCTAGGCTTGGTAGTGGCAAGCCCACTCAACCCACACACACACACCCCCTAACCCCGGACCCCCTCATTCTCGTGAGCAGCCGGGTATCGACCCCTCATGCTAGGCAATGACACCCCCGGACGAGAGGCAGGTGGCCGCATCTGGGTGGCCTCAATGACGACAGCGGCGGAGCTCGTGCTCAAGGCGGCTGCGGTGATGAGGACAGGCGGCGTCTGCGGCGGCTGAGGGCTCTCGGCGGTGTGGCACGGGTTGGCGATGACCGAGCCGAAGACAGAACCTGTGGCAGGAGGGAGAGGGGACGCAAGGAGAAGGGGTGGTGTAGAGGAGAGGGCGCTGGCTAGCGTGTGGGTGGCGGCAGCGTCACCGACGTCGCACGGTCGGCTGCAGCCCGACGGCGCCGTCAACGAGCGGCGTCGATGCTGCACGACGTGACGTCGATGCGGCATGACGTCGACGCCGCGACATCAGTACGGCGGTGCTGTCACGCCGCGACGGCCCGACGTCGACGGTGTCGCCACCATGAGGCCGCCGCAGCATCTCAGGGAAGGTGCCACGGCGGCAGGCAATCTGAAGGTTGCGAAGGCGGCGAAGTACCAGAGAATACGCAGCGGAAGCGTAGTGAGCAGGCCCGGGACGGGCGGCCTGCTCTGAAACCATGTCGTGAAGGTATTATAGCTAGGACGCCATGACTATGGTGGCGGGGTTTAGCTAGGAGGAAAGAGAGGAGACTGTCGAGAGAAAAGGTGAATCAACTAGAAGAGAAACATGTACAAGAAGGGGAGTTATCCCCTCTATAGTAGGATGCAGTAGCACAACTACCAAGCCTATAATTATATAAAATATAATTTGAACACTCGGTCCATACTTTCGTGGACAACCGGCATACTTCTATGGACACTCGCGAAATTGCAATAAAAAAACGTAATCAGAATTGTACATGTTGTGACCGGCGGAAAAATAAAATAGAAACATGCGTCGCAAACCTTCGTAAGCTACAGTGCCTCATAGCAAATCATGGAAGCAGAATGCAGCAATCATGGAAGTGGTAATTACGATTAATTCGAATGTCGAAAGCTATATATACATTCTTTATGTTAATAGATTGAATTTCATGTCAGGTGTTGCTATCTGATTTAATGACGAGATTTAGCCCGCTGCTGCTGATGTACCCTGGTGTCGACTGTAGCCCGTACGTTACAATCAAATGGATTTTGAGCGTCACTGTAAGATATCATAGATTTACGCGAGGCAGCTTTCTGACCTGGCTGGTTGCGGACACTGTAGCTTGTGACCCTTTGCGACGGTCCTGATTTTGGCAGTCTTGTTATTCCGCTCGTCACAACATGTACGCGGACGTAGGTAGGAACATGTACGAGCGCACCAAGCTGGACGCGGATGTAGGAACATGTACAGTTCTGATTACGTTTTTTAACTGCAATTTCGCGTGTGTCCATGGAAGTATGCCCGCTATCCACGAAAGTATGGTCCGAGTCCATGGGAGAAGCAAACGTTTGATGGCTGTAATCTACAGGCATTTGACGTTGACGTCGACGTCTACATTGAGGAAGCTCCTCAAGCGACTTCAAGAGCACTGGTTACCACCCAAACCAGGTGCACTTTCCCAACCTCGCTTGGAAGCCACGCGACCAAATTGTGGAAAGCGCAAGCGAAAAGAGAGAGGAGATAATTTCAAAATTGCGCAAAAAAAAACTTCTGCCGCAGGGCAGGAGAGAAATTATCCAGGGCAAAATGACGAAAAAAGGTTAAGCTGTGATACGACTCGTTAGCGATGGGTTTGTTTAGTTGCTGTTTTTTTGCAGGGCAGGCCCAAGCTCGCGAGGGGGGGTAAAGTGGTGGCGGTTGTATTTTGGGGGTGTGGAGGCCTAGTACACCCTTGCGGTTGATGTAACGCCACACGCAAGGTGGACTTCGCGATTAAGCGAACGTCGGCATTGCGTCAGGTTTGCGTCAAATTTGCCAGTGAGGGAAGCGACAAGGGTGTTTCCCTGACGTAGATGTCATCCGCAGATGGACCTGTTCTGTAGGCATGTCGACGTAACTAGGTTCGGGTACGTTGTGCCAGGTTTGGACGAAAATTTGCGGGCTGACCCTCGATCCGAAGCAAAAAATCTCGCTTTCGGAAGGTGCTCTGACATAATCTGCACTTTCCTTTTTTGCCTGCAGAACGCAGCCGATGTGCAGTCCATGAAAGTAGGGCCTGTCCATGAAAGTAGGAAAGATTTCGTGGACAGTCCACGTCAGTAATGTTCCCGCATGCGAAGCTGCGATAGTGAGAATGGCGGCAGGAGCACTTCGAATTGAACGACACCCCGAATTCTGTGTTCGTATTCCTTAACGTGTCGTTTCAACTGGCATCACAGGTCGAAAATAGCTCGTTCTGCTACGCTTCAGTGTTCAGAAAATGGGGTGTTCTCTCGACAAAACTTATTCATACTTCTGTGTGCGGTACGGAAATTGGAACATATCGAGTGCTTCGAACGGGAAATTGATTCATTTTCGACACAAAGACCTTCGCGGACCAAGCTGGAAAGCGAATTGGAGCGCCACCCGGTCTGGTTGAAATTTGGCTTTGGGGGAATCTGGGTCTAGCCTAGACATCTTGGCATTTCTCCAAATATCCCATCCCATTCCCCGCAACCAGCTGGGGTTGTCAGGGGTTGTTTGTTATAACGCGTGTCAGGCGGTCGGTACAGGTTTGTCGAGCTGACCCGTGGGACAGGTCGACTTAACGGCCACTGCGCGACGATTGACGCCAGGACCTCGGAAAGTGTCGCCAGGTGGCACTATTGAGGTCATGCGCAAAACATGTGACTGCCTTCTGCACAACCAGATTTATTCACAATTCGCTAGTCGCAAATAAACGTCGTGGGGCATGCTAATTGGATCGCTTTGTTTCGCGGCTTTTGGACTGTCAGTTTATGCGACGTTGAAGTTGACTGGTAGACGCGAGTTTTACCGGTTTTAGAAAGGGGGAAATGTTGGCGCCAGCTACAAACTCACCTGACACCCGGGCAGTATCTGCTTCCACGGTACAGGTGGGCTGTACCACCTGTTTAACACGCAGTCTAGCTGCGCCCTTGAATTCGGTGGATGAGCGTATTCAGATCCCTACTGCATGGCAACTTCAGCTTACCTGGTGATAAATTAGATTCGGGGCAACGTATAGGTCGAATGCATAGTTGGTCCAGTGCTCCCGCAGAACGATTATCTGAAGGCTCTACGAAAAGACGCCATCTTTATAGCTGATTATTGTACGCGTTGTACTGTCCACCGAACGACGCTGTATATGCTCTGGACTTGTGCTCTAGAGTCGATCTGGGTACCTCGTCGCGCGTAGATGGCATTGCATTGGTCAGAATTCGCGATAATTACGAGAGTTCGAGTTACTAGGATTTTAGCAGAAACTTAGTGTACCCTGCTGGCATAATCACTTGCAATAACTACGACTTCATTTATTATAGGTCCAGCCGTGACCAACCTAGTGACACCTTTGCCTCCAACAAAATGCATTTTTCGATTAGATTCAAAGTCCCGACTGATTTTATTCGTCGAGAATTCAGGGACCAGATGAGCGAAGTGACATCAGAATGCGCATCCCACGTGGAAGTTGATGCCGCCGTCTCTCCAAAGCAGCATCTCGGATCGATCTTCACTATGCTGTTTCGGTCCTACCTGCCAGGCTGCTCCTTGGCATGCGACCAACGTCAGCAGCAGCAGCAGCAGCAGCAGCAGCAGCAGCAGCAGCAGCAGGGAGCGGAGGATGATGGGAGGCAGGGAGCGGGGGAAGGTGGGAAGCAGGGAGCGGGGGAAGCGGATGGCAGGAGCGCGACTGAGGGGAATGGGACGAAGCAAGTCCGATTTATAGCTCGTGGACAAGCCGCGTGCCTCTCTCCTGACGTGACCGTTGAGCAGGCGAAGCTTACAGCAGGGACAGTAATCAGAGTGGTTCCTGTACAGGCAGCGGACGGAAAAGGACCGGGTAAGGCCACGGGTAAGGGCGCGGGTAAGGGCACGGGCAAGGGCGACGGTATGAAGCGAGCTGATCCGTCTGCTGCTGCAGTCAAAGGGGCGAATCTCCATCCTGCTGCTGCTGCTCCTGCTGCTGCTGCTAGTTCAGCTGGCGTTCCTGCTGTGGCTGCAGCTGCTGCAACTGGAGCGGCGAATCTTCATCCTCCTCCTCCCCCTCCTGCTGCTGCTGTTGCCGCTGCTGCTGCTGCTGCTGCTGCTTCGCATTCAGCTGACCCTTTCCATGGGGACCCTCTCAATCCTCGCAGCAGTAGCAATGATTCAGAGAAACAGAAAGGGAAAGGAAAAGCAGCAGCGCAAAGCAGCAAGAGCAATCCAGCGCATGCGTCAGCTGCTGCTGCTGCTGCTGCTGCTGCTGCTGCTGCTGCAGGTGCCGGTTCTTATTCCCCCCCTGGGACAAGTGGGCCCTGCGGCCCTGCTTGCGCCTATCTCGGTAAGCTGAACCGCTATGAGGTGATCTATTAGGGCAAGCCTGGAGAAGAGGCCAAAGTGCCCCCCCCCTGGCGGCACATGATTCTGCAAGACGAGCAGGCGGCGCATAAGAAATGGGACCTCCAACTAAGAGAGGGTGTGAAACGCGAGCAGGCTGCGCCCAAGCCAAAGAGCCGACAGCAAAGGCGGAGGGAGAGAGCGGCTGGCGGGGAAGGGGGAGCCGCGGGGGGGCTCTAGAAGGGCCAGAGGAGAAGCATCAGCCGCAACCGCGGCTCATGTCGCGAGAAGACATGATTCACTACGTGGACGTGCGGGCCGCGTGGCTTGCGGCTGAGTGCGCATGGTGCTTCGACCGTGCGGTGGCCTATCGGGCCGAGCATGCTCTTGGCAAGGTCAACCTCATGTCGTTCCTCCTGCATCTGCATAGGGGCCAGTCTCCTGCCATACCCCCTGCTCCCCCGAGTCGACCAGCAGATGCGATTTTCATGTACTCCCAGAGGCTACCGGTGCAGGTGTTACTGGGGTTGAAGGTGCTGGGGGGGCAGGGGGAGCAGTCAGCACCGGTTATGTCTCAATACATCTGGAAGTGTGAGCGGGCGCCTTTGTTTTGTGTGGAGGCGATGCTTCTGGAGTGGATGGCTGAGCCTCGTGTGGGCGTGCTCATGGAACTGGGGGGGATCAGGTCCCACCTGCCCGCTATTCTGGGTGCTACAGATTCTGCTGCAAAACCTCCTGCTCCCATCGCTCCTGCTGCTGCTCCAACCGCTGCTGCTCCTGCTGCTGCTGCTGCTCCTAGCGCTCCTGCTGCTCCAGCCGTTGTTTCTGCACCATGGTCCTGCTGCTGGCGCTGCAGCAGCTGCTGGGCTGCCTACCGCCGTGCTGTCAGCTTCGCTTCCTTCCTCGTGCTTGTAGCAAGATCTCCCCGCGTTGTGACTCTATGGAAGGCCCACATGGACTCACAGTCTCCCACATTCACAGCTCTAGTGACCGAGCTGGGGGCGGTCAGGCAAGCAGAGCCAGACTGCTTTGCCTCCATGCTGGTGCAGATTCTCGGGGTGAAGAAGACTGCTGAACTCAAGGAAGGGTTTGGGTTCTTCGTGCAGAATCTGCTGCCAGGCGGCCTTGAGAAGGCCCATGCGGAGGGGACAGGGGGAACGGGGAAGAAAGCTGCAGCGCTTGGGAATGCGGGGCCAGTTGCTTTGGCTGCGATGCGGCTGATGGGAGGGGGCAGGGGAACGGAAGGCATTGGAGGAGGCATGATGGGTGTCGGGGGCATGGTGCCAGACACAGGGGATGGGGAGGATGAAGGAGAAGGGGAAGGAGGAGGCGGTTAGGGGGGCAGTCAGGGGGGCGATGGCTCTAGGGCTGGCTCGGATGGGCGGTGGAGGGAGCATCTGAAGGGGCCTGTGTGGGAGAGGTATGTGGATGGCATGGCTTGGATTCTGCAGCATGGAGGGGGGGAAGGGAGGGAGTTCAGGTGCAGCCATTGCAGCGAGAGCAGCTGCAGCAGCAACTGCAGCAGTGGCTGTGGTGTTGGCAGCAGCAGTAACGGTGGTGGTGGCAGCAGCAACTGTGGTGAAGGTTACAATGATGGAAGCAGAAACGTGGAAGGGAGGGACATTCCCAAGGGCATGTTCGTGAGCGGCGTGGGAGCCACTGACTTCGCCCTTGCTGTGGCTACAGTGCTCTCCAAGCCACAGCACTGTGAGGATCAGGCGTACGTCATCGATGGGAACAACGCCAGCAAGACAAAAGTGGAGAATGCAGCGATTCAGGAAGGCAGGAGCAGGCTGAGAAGAAAACTGGGCGAAAAAGGGAGAGCAAGGGGAGCAAGAGCCACCGACCAAGCAGCAGAGGAGATAGCAGCAGACTCTGTGGTTAACTATAGTGCTTCTGATGCCACCAGTGCATGTGGCGTTGGCACTGCTGCTGCCACCACTTCGTCCCCTGCCACCAGTGTTTCTACTACTGCTGTTACCTCCTCTTCGCCCACCAGTGCTGTTACGACCACCAGTGGTTTCTCTGCAACTGCATCCATTCAACCTGGTGCGATCCCCGCCCCTGGACTCGTGCCTGTCAACACACATCCTGCTATGGCCGTCCTAACTTATCGAGTCGGGTGCATCTTGCAGTGGGTGCGAATCTACAGCTCAGATTTCATCTCTGAGAAGCATTGCTTCAAGGACGACCCACAAGACCGGGTCCTGCCCATGCGCCACCCGCTTCGGGACCTTCCGAGCCTGCTGCTCAGGCACAAAGCAATCCCCAAGCCTCTGGAGGGAAGCTGCTTTTCCCTGGAGTGGGAGGAGTGGCCTCAGGGCGATGAAGCTGCTGTGAAATTGCCAGAAGACCCGAGTGCTCGTTTCTTTGGACTGGGTATTGTGGAAGGTGGGCAGACGCCATCCGAGCAGGCGGATAGAGCAGGAGGGAAGGGCAAGGCTGGGAGGGGGCGAGGAGGGAGGGGGAGAGGAGGGAGGGGGAGTGCCAGCAAGAGGATTGAACAGGGGGGTGGAAGGATGGTGGGGCATGGGAGGGGGCAGGGAGACTCGCAGGATTCGCCCACATCCTCATTGCTGACAGCGCACAACAGGAGGCGGCCCATCATTCGCTGCAGGGCGGATGTGGATTTTGTGCTGGAGATTCTCGGGCCCATGATCATTCCCCCGCAGTGTAGCCACTGCCTCAAGTGCCTCCAGACCTTCGTCTACCACATCCCCACCTGTGCTCTCATCGCCAACTTCGCCTACCGCCCCGTCGAGGTTCTCTTCACCCGCTTTATCTCCACGTTTCCCCCGCACACCCCTCAGTTCGCTCAGCTACTGCAGGCTCTCCTCCTGCGGTCGCCGCTCACTCCGGAGGAGACTCCTGCGGGCATGAGGAAGGTTGGGACGCGCCAGAGAGCAGAGCAGGCGCTTGGGTGCACTAGAATCTCAGGCAAACATGAGGAGATTGTGATTCGGCAGCGGGCCGAGCAGCTGGCTGAGCTGACTAGGATTCCAGGGCTGAGGGAGAGGGTGATGCGAGACAGGGCGCAGCAAATGCCCGTGTTCTTCTTGCTGGGCGTGGCCATGTACCATGCCAAGCCCATCATGGGTATTGATGACTCTGAAGAGTTGGTTGGAAACAGGGAAGTGATCGGTAGAGGAGTGGAGAGGAAGGGTGAGAAGAAAGGGGGGAGTGGAGGCAGGGTGGAGGGTGTGGGCGGTGTGGAGGAGGAGGAGGAGGACGATGGGGAGGTGTGGCAGGAGGTGCGGGCGTGGTGCAACTCTATGTTCACTGCATGGCGGGTCAGCACGAAGATTACAGGGCCGGGGTTGGATGTGTCATGCACTAGGGGTAGCAGCGGCGTGCCGCAGAGGGAGCCTGGAGCGCCCATGTCAAGGGAGTGGGGCGTTGACATGTGGAGCCGGGCTGCACAGCCGAGGTTCTGGGAAGACATGCCCGACCAAGCTGGGTCCGCCAGCGGCTGTGGTAGCAGCAGTGGAAACAGCAGCATCAAGAGTATCAGCACGAGCAGTAGTGACACGAGCATGGGGAGCAGCAGCATCAGCGGTGGCGACAGCGGCAACAACAGTGTGGGGAAGGGAGAGAAGGAGAAGGTGCCCGCTTATTTGAAGCCATGGCCAGGGGGGATCAATCTGTTGGCGTGTCTGCGGGAGATGCTGCTGGGGCAGCCGTGCTACCGCCCTGCCTCGCATGTTGCACATTCAACCCATGCTGGTGCTGCACCTAGCTCTGCTGTCCCTTCTCCTGCTGCGTCTTCCACCCCTGCTGCTCCACCCATTGGACTTGCACGAAAAAGTGCATTCGTGTCAGCTGCAGAAGGATCTCGCCCTGCTGCTTGTGGGGGACGTATGTGCGGTGCTGAAGGGTGTGGGAGGGCGGAGGGTGGTGGTGTGAAGCTGAAAAACTGCTCTGGGTGTGGGAAGGTGGCGTATTGCAACAGAGACTGCCAAAAGGTGCATTGGCCTTTCCACAAGCTCGCATGCAAATCAAATCCCAGCAACAAGGCGAGTGGCAAGGTGAGTGGGTAGGTGAATGGATAGGTGAGTGGGTAGGTGAATGGATAGGTGAGTGGGTAGGTGAGTGGGTAGGTGAATGGATAGGTGATGCCTCATATTGCCTCATGTGCATGCTGTCTGGAACATCTTAATGTGGCTGATCTCGGAAACTTGACCCGTGCTTACAATTTACCTGTACAGCAGCTGTGAGGGTAACCACTCATAACCCTTGCCTCCGGTTCGTCTGATGCATGTCATGACATGACATGCATGCATCCCACTGAACTTTCTCCTTCCACTGCTGTTTGTCGCTATTTGCTCCCTTTTTCACACCCGCACACCAACACTGCTTCGCTCATGTTTCTTGAATTGTGATCTGTGCAGGGCAAGGGCTAAATCCAGATGTACCCTTTCTAGTCAAAAACAAATTCCGGGTACTCAACGTTTTTCTAATCGAAGCCTGGTTATGAGCCTGTGTTGGAAACGATTGTTAGCATGCAAGATAAGAATCAGAGCGGCACCAGGCTCTGGGTTGCTACTTGAACTGCCACGAAGGTACATCAGGGGGGGGGGGGAAGGGGCCTTCGCGACATTCAAGGATGGCAGCAATGCTGCAGGTTTCCTCCTAGTAAGGGCGTACATGGGCAAATGGGCCTGCAGCAAATGGTCCCTCGTGAATTCTGGCAGCAGGCCCTCAGATATCATGATGTTTTATCCTGAATTCCTGATTTTCATGATGCTTGTTAGGGGCCAATCCTGGAAATTCAGTTTTTGAGTCATAGTGCAACCCTGTGTCAACAAACATAATTATCTAGGCTAGCTAGTTTATATTTGTTATAGCCTTAGTTGGGTCAGTTCATATAGGGTACAGTCCTACCTTCGTAATCCTAGCTGTTTTCACGTAGTCCACCATTCCCTCGACAATCTAACATGGCATATAGAGCTAGGTCTTGCCCTCTACTCACGCTTCCGCCCTAGCACACCCTATCCTAGTGTGCCTCGGCCCTAATTGCGCGCCTCGTAGCTCATCCCCTCCCCGCCCTCTCCTCTTCGTCGCGTGGCTCACGCCAGTCGCCACTGGCCCGCGCCCGCCAGCGCCTTAGTTCGTAGCCGTCCCACCTCTTGCCACCCGTTCGTAGCCTGCGCCAGCTCGCGAGCTCGCACGCTCGCCTGCTTGCCTGATCGCCCGCTTGTCTGCTCACCTGCTCGCTTGCTCGCCTGCCCGCCAGCCCGCCTGCTCGCCAGCCCGCCTGCTCGCCTGCTCGCCAGCCCGCCAGCCCCCCTGCTCGCCATCTCGCCCGCTCGCCAACCCACCTGCTCGCCAGCCCGCCCGCCCACCTGCTCGACAGCTCGCACGCTCGCCTACTCGCCAGCCCGCCAGCCCGCCTGCTCGCCAGCTCGCACGCTCGCCTGCTCGCCAGTTCGTCTGCTCGTCTGCTCGCCAGCCCGCCAGCCCGATTGCTCGCTTGCTCGCCTGCCTGCCAGCCCGCCTGCTCGCCAGCCTGCCTGCTCGCCTGCTCGCCAGCTCGCCAGCCCGCCAGCCCGCTTACTCGACAGCTTGCACGCTCGCCTGCTCGCCAGCCCGCCTGCTCGCCAGCGCGCCTGCTCGCCAGCTCGCCTGCCCGCCTCCTTGCTCGCTCGACTGCTCACCAGCCCACCTGCTCGCCAGCTTGCCAGCAGCGTCAGCAGCCAGCAGCCAGCTCACTGGCTCGCCAACGCCACCAGCGCCAGCAGCCAGCAGCCAGCACCAGCTCGCCAGCGCCAGCAGCCAGCACCAGCTTGCCAGTGCCAGCAGCCAGCACCAGCTAGCTCGCCAGCGCCAGAAAGCGCCAGCACCCAGCAACACCAGGAGCCAGCAGTGCCAGCAGCCAGCGCCAGCAGCCAGCGCCAGCAGCCAGCAGCCAGCAGCGCCAGCAGCAAACAGCCAGCAGCCAGCAGCCAGCATCCAGCAGCCAGCAGCCCGCAGCCAGCAGCGCCAGCAGCCAGCTTGCTGGCTCACCAGCGCCACCAGTGCCAGCAACCAGCAACCAGCGCCAGCCGCCAGCCGCCAACAGCCAGCAGCCAGCGCCGGCTGCTGCCACCCACTGCCACTACCACAGCTACTACTGCCCGCTGCCGCCCCGCTACTGCCTACTGCCGCCCACTGTAGTTGCAGCCGCCACAACCGCAGCCACTGCTGCCGCCACTGCGGCTGCTGCCGCTGCCGCCGCTACAGCCGCCGATGCCTCTGCAGCCGCCGCTGCTACTCCCGTCGCCACTGTTGTTGCCCACCGTCAGCTTCGGCCTCCAGCAGCTGGCCACCAGCCGCCAGCACCAGTCACCAGCAGCCAGCAGCTGACCGCCGACCCTCAGCCGTCAGCCGCCAGCTGCCACCACTCGCGGCCAGCCGCTGACCACCAGCCGCCAGCGGCAGTCGGCCGCCAGCCACTAGTCGCCAGTCGGCCGCCTGCCACGCAAGTCCCTTGTGCCCTGTGGACTGACCTTTGTCCTGTGCCTCCAGTCCTAGTGCCTCCTAGCTAGCTCCTTGGTGTACTACTCCTAGTAGATCCTCTCGCGCGTACTTCATCCTCGTTTGCTCCCCACTCCTCCTAGCAGCTCCTAGCCTACCGTCAGCGGCCAGCTAGCCCCTACTACCGTCTTACTGTCACTAGCCGCTGCTGCTACCAGCCTCGTGCTCGCTGCCACTGCTCTGGCCATAGTTGCCACTGCTACTACCTCCGATTGTACTTCTCTTGCACCTAGTGCCTCCCACTAGTCTCCTCCTCGTTTCTAGAGCTCCTTGACGCCTCTCCTCTCGGCATGATGGCCTCGTTCGGGTCAGTCCCTCGGCTAGACCGCCAGGCACTCCCCTCCACTCTCCAATTTCTTGCTCACCGTCTACAGCTGGTGAGCCCGCACCTAGACTGCACGCTCCTAGAGGATCACATTAGTTACCTCATTGGCTTCTGGCTACATGACCTCGACGTCTGCTTCCAGGCTCTCTGGCCAGTGCTGCAGCTGCAGCAGCAGCACTAATAGTAGCAGCAGTGGCAGCGTCAGTAGCAGCAGCAGCGGCAGAAGCCGCAGTGCGGTCTTGGGGGTGCAAGGCAAGGTGGAGGCTCTGGAGGTGCAGCCCTGTGGTGATCATTGCCCTGGGGCCAGTGTGGTTTCTCTTGAGGACTGAGGGCCTAGGGGCTTAGGTATCTAGGTCCCACCACTGTTGTGTAAAAATGGTGCTACACTTGTGTAAAAATACCCACTGTTGTGATGCTACCAATATTATGAACCCACAGTGGTGCTACACTTGTGTTGTGGCTTAGGAGTCTAGGTCCCACTGTTGTTATACGTCGCACCACCACACTCCCTTGTCCGGCTCTCCCCTCCGGCTCCCTCACCGGTCTGCACATCCCCTTGTTTGCCAGGAACCTAGTGGGTGTGGGTCACCTTCAGGGCCGATGTGTCACCACAATGTTCCCTGGCAACGAGAGACATGGCGCTTGCATAAACACAGCCACCGGTCGGCATTGAGCCACGTTTGACCGTGGCCCAATGTCAGGTCTCTTTACACTGCACATGTAGTCCCTATCGACTGATGCGTCTGCCGTGGTTGCCGCTTCCTACTTCTGTCGCTCCATAGCCCACCCGACCCTTCTGTGGCACCACCGCTTAGGTAACCCTGCACTCCCATGTCGTAGGCACATGTCCCAGCACGATCTGGTCACTAGTCTCCCTGAGTCGCTTCCCGCCCTGCCTACGTTAGTAGCGCCACTGTGCACGTCCTGCGTCGAGGGCCGGCAGTGCGCCGCCCCTCACTCCTCCTCGTTTCCTCCTACCATAGCGCCTCTACAGACGCTGTACATGGACGTCTGGGGCCTTGCCCCGGTCCATGGTCTTAGTCGTGAGCGCTACTTTCTCGTCGTCGTTGGCGACTTAACCACAGTGTTTCGTTGGTGCAGAAAGCCAACATGCCTACTGTTCCCCTGCTGTGGCTTCTTACTGTTTGCACCCAACACCGCTTGCCTGTAGGTCGCTTACACTCTGACCGTGGTGGCGAGTTCGCCTCTGGCACTCTAGGACAGTTCTGTCGTGCGAAGGGCAATCGCCAGTCGTACACACTATTGGACTCCCCACAGGAAAATGGGGTTGCTGAGCGATGCATCGGCCTGATCATGGAGGTCGATCGCACCTCCATGGTCCACGCCGGTGCACCCCATTTTATGTGGCTGTTCGTTGTACGCTATGCTGCTCACCAGCTTAACCTGTGGCCGCAGGGAGCGTGGCCACAGGTTTCGCCGACCCTCCTCTGACCGGGTCTCCTGGTGACGCATCTGTGTTCCACGTCTGGGGCAGCCTTGCTCACGTCCGTGACACTCGCACAGACAAGCTCTCAGCTTGAACCCTTCCTTGCATCTTCCTGGGGTTTCCGCTTGATACCTCTGACTGGCTGTTCTACCACCCGTCACACCACCGCTTTTATCACTTTGGTGATGCTACCTTCAACGACATGCTCCCCTACTACCGGCGCTTCCCGCACCACAACACTCATGTGCCTCCTCCTCCTCTCTTCCTTGTC